AGTAATTTTGCCTAAGCACTCACAGTTCTTTCCATCTTTTAGTGACTGCTGTTCAATCTCATACTTGTTCTAAAGTTTTGGTAGCTGACGCTACAGTACTTTAGCTTAGCCGTTAGCGACTTTAGCTTAGCAGCTAGCGATGGCTTCTCCTTCTCCCTCTCTCTCTCCTACTTTCTCCTGCTCGGTGTGTCAGATGTTCAGTTACTCCTCTGCCTCCTTTAGCGGTAATGGTACGTGTAATAAGTGTAGTTTATTTATAGACATGGAGGTGAGGCTCAGTGATTTAGATCTCCTGTGCAGCCAAGAAAGGGGGGCTGGGTGACTGTCCGAAGGAGGAATAGTCGTAAGCATTCAAAGTCCACGGGGCATCATCAACCTGTTCACGTTTCTAACAGATTTTCCCCACTCAGCGACACACCCGCTGAGAAACCAACTCTGATCATTGGCAGCTCCATTTTGAGAAACGTGAAGTTAGCGAAGCCAGCGGCCATAGTTAAGTGCATCCCTGGGGCCAGAGCGGGCGACATTGAGTCTTATTTGAAACTGCTGGCTAAGGATAAACGTAAATACAGTAAGATTGTTATTCACGTCGGCGGTAATGACTCCCGGTTACGCCAATCGGAGGTCACTAAGATTAATGTTGAGTCGGTGTGTACATATGCAAAAACAATGTCGGACACCGTAGTTTTCTCTGGACCCCTGCCAAATCTGACCAGTGATGACATGTATAGCCGCATGTCGTCATTCCGCCGCTGGTTGTCGAGGTGGTGTCCAGCAAACGATGTGGGCTTTGTTGATCATTGGCAGACTTTCTGGGGAAGACCTGGTCTGATCCGGAGAGACGGCATCCATCCCACTTGGGAAGGAGCAGCTCTCATTTCTAGAAATCTGGCCAAGTTTATTAGTGGACCAAATCCATGACAACCCAGAGTTGAGACCAGGAGGCAGAGTCGCAGTCTAACACACTTCTCTGCCCTTCTAATTCAGCAGTTACCCACCCAAAACCCTACGCAGAGTCTAACACACTTCTCTGCCCTTCTTTTCAGCAGTTACCCACCCAAAACCCTACGCAGAGTCGCAGTCTAACACACTTCTCTGCTCCTCCATTTCAGGAGGTACTTAGTGAAAACCTATAGTGACGGTGTCTGCCCCCCGACCATCGAAATTATTTAAAAAGGTAAACAGAAGAGGAGCTGTGCATAAAAACCTCATAAAAATTAAAACCACAAGAGCAATAGTGCAAACGAATAGGAGAGTTAAATGTGGACTCTTAAACATCAGATCTCTCTCTTCTAAAGGTGTACTAGTAAATGAACTAATATCAGATTATGATATTGATTTATTTGGTCTTACTGAAACCTGGCTGGGTGATGGAGAATATGTTAGCCTAAATGAATCCACCCCTCCCAGTCATATTAATACTCACATTCCTCGAGGCACAGGCCGAGGAGGTGGAGTTGCAGCTATCTTCCACTCTAGCCTACTAATCAGCTCTAAACCTAAACTAAACTATAACTCATTTGAAAGTCTTGTTCTTAGTCTTTCGCACCCAAGTTGGAAATCACTGCAACCAATTCTTTTTGTTATAGTGTACCGAGCACCTGGCCCGTACTCTGAATTCTTATCTGAATTTGCAGAGTTTTTGTCAACTTTAGTCCTTAAAACGGACAAAGTTATTATTGTAGGGGTTTTAATATTCATGTGGATGTTGAGAATGACAGCTTTAGTACTGCGTTTATCTCTCTGTTAGATTCCATTGGCTTCTCTCAGAGTGTTCATGAACCGACTCACTGTTTTAACCACACCCTCGACCTTGTTTTGGTGTATGGTATTGAAATTGAACATTTAGTGGTGTTCCCACAGAATCCCTCTTTGTCCGACCACTGTTTGATAACTTTTGAGTTTGTATTGCTGAACTACTCGCCATTGGGCAAAAATTTCTATACAAGATGTCTGTCTGATAGTGCTATAGCTAAATTTAAGGATGCGATTCCATCAGCTCTAAATACATTATCTAGTCACAAAGTAACGGAGGACTCCTATGCTAATTTCAGTCCCTCCCAAATCGATCATCTTGTTGATAGTGCTGCAGGCTCGCTGCGAATGACACTCGACTCTGTAGCCCCTCTAAAAAAGAAAATACTAAAACAAAGACGGTTAGCTCCATGGTATAATACTGAAACTCGCAAATTAAAGCAAATATCACGGAAACTTGAGAGGAATTGGCGTTCCACCAAAGTGGAAAATTCTCGTTTAATTTGGCAAGATAGTCTTAAAACTTATAGGAAGGCCCTCCGTAATGCCAGAGCAGCGTACTACTCGTCATTAATAGAGGAAAATAGGAACAACCCCAGGTTTCTTTTCAGCACTGTAGCCAGGCTGACAGAGAGTCACAGCTCTATTGAGCCAAGTATTCCCATAGCTCTCAGTAGTTACGACTTCATGAGCTTCTTTAATGATAAAATTCTAGCTATTAGAGACAAAATTCACCAAGACCTGCCCTCAATTGGCACCGACTTATCTCTTAACTCAGGAACCTTAGAAACAGCTGTAGAACCAGATACATGTTTAGACTGTTTTGCTTCCCTCAATCTTTACCAACTAACTTCAATAATTTCTTCATCTAAACCATCAACCTGCCTCTTAGACCCCATCCCGACTAGGCTGCTTAAAGATGTTTTACCCTTAGTCAGCACCTCTATACTAGATATGATCAATCTATCTTTATCAACAGGCTATGTACCACAGTACTTTAAAGTAGCTGTAATTAAACCTCTTCTGAAAAAGCCCAAACTTGATCCGGATGTTTTAGCCAACTATAGACCTATATCTAACCTTCCATTTCTCTCTAAGGTTCTGGAGAAAGCAGTTGCTAAACAGCTGTGTGACTTTCTACAGAGCAATAGTTTATTTGAGGATTTTCAGTCAGGATTTAGAGCTCATCATAGCACAGAGACAGCACTGGTGAAAATTACTAATGACCTCCTTATTGCATCAGACAAAGGACTTGTCTCTGTACTGGTTTTATTAGATCTTAGTGCTGCATTTGATACCATTGACCATCAGATCCTATTGCAGAGACTGGAATATTTCATTGGCATTAAAGGAACCGCTCTAAGCTGGTTTAAGTCCTATTTATCAGATCGATTTCAGTTTGTACATGTTAACGATGAGTCCTCCACGCCAAAGTTACTCATGGAGTTCCTCAAGGATCTGTCCTTGGACCAATCCTCTTCACTTTATATATGCTTCCTTTAGGCAATATTATCAGGAAACATTCCATAAGCTTTCATTGTTATGCAGATGATACTCAGTTATATCTATCGATCAAGCCAGATGAAACTCATCAGTTAGCTAAACTTCAAATGTGCCTTCAGGATGTTAAAACCTGGATGAGCTGTAATTTTCTCATGTTAAACTCAGATAAAACTGAAGTTATTGCTCTGGGGCCTAAGCACCTCCGTGACGCATTATCTAAAGATATAGTTTCCCTGGATGGCATCGCCCTGGCCTCCAGCACCACTGTGAGGAATCTTGGAGTTATCTTTGATCAGGACATGTCGTTTAAGTCTCACATTAAGCAAATTTCAAGGACCGCCTTTTTTCACCTACGTAATATTGCGAAAATCAGGAACATCCTGTCTAAAAATGATGCAGAAAAACTAGTCCATGCATTTGTTACTTCTAGGCTGGATTACTGCAATTCCTTATTATCAGGCTGCTCGAAAAAGTCCATTAAGACTCTTCAGCTGATCCAGAATGCTGCAGCACGTGTTCTGACAGGAACCAGGAAAAGAGATCACATTTCTCCTGTTTTAGCTTCTTTGCATTGGCTTCCAGTAAAATCCAGAATAGAATTTAAAATCATTCTTCTTACCTACAAAGCTCTTAATGGTCAGGCACCATCTTATCTTAAAGAGCTCATAGTACCTTACTACCCCACCAGAGCACTGCGCTCCCAGAATGCAGGGTTACTTGTGGTTCCTAGAGTCTCCAAAAGTAGACTAGGAGCCAGAGCGTTCAGCTATCAAGCTCCTCTCCTGTGGAACCAGGTTCCAGTTTGGGTTCAGGAGGCAGACACCATCTCCACATTTAAGAGTAGGCTTAAGACTTTCCTCTTTGATAAAGCTTATAGTTAGGGCTGGCTCAGGTGAGTCCTGAACCATCCCTTAGTTATGCTGCTATAGGCCTAGACTGCCGGGGGATTTCCCATGATGCACTGCTCCTCTCTCCTCTACTTTCTCTCCCTCTGTATGCAACCTCATCCCATTATTGCATGTTACTAACACAACTTCTCCCCTTTCTGGTAGTCTTGTGCTTTCTCGTCTCTCTCCTCTCTCCTCCTATCACTTCCTGCAGGTTTTCTGGCTTTGGAGCTGTGGAGTCTGGATCTGTGGTTGCGGGTCACCTGCTGCCCCCGTGTTCCTGCTCGACACCCTCTGCTGCAACACTATTGTTGCTAGTCCTATTGTTATTATAATCATTAACATTACGATGGTTACCATTAACACTGTTATAAACATCTGTACCATTTTTCATTTAGTCTATAGCAACATTACCTTCACTGTCTGTACCTCTGTGTGTATATTGTGTAGGCTGCCTCCCTCCCCTCTCTCTCCCTTACATCTCTCTCTCTCTGTCTTTACATATCTCTCTCTCTCTCTTTACATCTCTCTCTCTCTCTCTCTCTCTCTCTCTCTCTCTCTCTCTCTCTCCTTCACCCCAACCGGTCGAGGCAGATGGCCGCCCACCCTGAGCCATGGTTCTGCTCGAGGTTTCTGCCTCTTAAAAGGAAGTTTTTCCTTGCCTCTGTCGCCTAGTGCTGCTCTTGGTGGGAACTGTTGGGCTTCTGTAAATATCATCACAGAGTACGGTCTAGACCTGCTCTTTTATGAAAAGCGCTGTGAGATAACTGTTGTTGTGATTTGGCGCTATATAAATAAAATTGAATTGAATTGAATTTAATAACCTGATCTCTCAAACAGGTTTTACTCTGAAGAATGGAAGGTCTCTACATTAACAGCACCTCACAGAACCAAAGCTACAATCACAGCGACATCACCTCCAACTGCCAGGATTACAGGAACTTGTCATTCATCCTGTATGTGGTGACATACACAATCAGTGCTATCGGCCTCCCGTTGACCCTCGTGGCCATCTATGCTCTGTATTCTATGGTATGTACATTCTGACCAGAGCTGGAAAGAGTCAAAATATTCTACTTAAACAAAACAACAATTACTTTGATGAGCATTTACTTAAGGACAAGTAAAGTTACTGATATAAAAATCTACTCAAGTAAAAGTAAAAAGTAGCCATGCTGCTCAGCTTAGATGCACAAAAAGCATTTGATAGAGTAAAGTGGAGCTTCCTTTACCAAACATTTGCAAATTTCGGGTTTCACACAACCTTCATAGACTGGGTGAAAATGATATACAAAAACCCCAAATCACGGATTAGAGTCAATGGGTGTTGCTCAGACTTTTTCCTACTCAAAAGAGGAGTCAGAAAAGGGAGACTGTCTGAGCCCTTTACTGTTTGCTGCAAGTATAGAACCACTGGCTGAGTCAATAAGACAGAATAAAGATAAAAAGGGGAATAAGGGATGAGGGGGGGGGACAGAACACAAAATATCACTATTCGCAGACGATATATTAACATATATAAATGCACCTTCCACCTCATTAATAGCCCTGGTGAATAACCTGAACGAGTATGGGGAGATCTCAGGATATCTGAGGCTAAATCAGTAGCTATGATGCTCTCAGGTCAATGTCCAGCTGATTTAAAGGGGAAATTCAAGTTCAAATGGACTAATATAGTGTTCAGATATCAGGGTATTATTATTACCTCTGCTACGTCACAGCTATTTGAAGCGAACAATGGGAAATTGATAACTGAAATTAAAAAAGAGGTGGGAGATTTTGCCTTTGACTCTGATGGGGAGGATAGAAACTGTGAGAATGAATGTACTACCAAGACTGTTGTTTTTGTTCCAGTCATTGCCTATTATGGTCTCTAACTCTACCTTTAAGATGTTAGACAAGATTATATCCCAAATATTCCAATTATTTGGAAAAATAATTAAATATAAGACACTTCTTTGTCCAAAAGAGAAGGGAGGGTTAAATTTACCCAATTTAAACAATTACTATTGGGCTGCTCAACTCAGGGCTTTTATTATGTGGATTACTAATGATGCAGATACATTGTGGATGGGAATGGAACAAAACTCTATAAATGTACCTATAGAGTCGCTTCCATTTTTGAGTGAGGTAACACTAAAGAGGCTGAAGGTGGGCAAAGTCTGGATCAGGGGGACAATGAGAATATGCTCAATGGTACGTAAGAAATTGAAACTGTTAAACACCATTTGTAGAGCCGCTCGAATCTCGACAAACCCAGATTTTTTGCCATCTATGATGGATGCAGGATATAATAGATGGACACAACAGGGGTTAAAATATATTGCACAAATGTTTAGGGGACAAACCTTGAAGTCATTTCAACAGTTAACACAAGAATTTAATTTACCAGCCCATGATTTTTTCTAAGTTTCTACAACTAAGACATTACCTTAAGACACATAAGGAGTGGGAGAAGATCTCTAACACCCCGTCGAAACTAGAAGAATTGTTAATGGCGTATACAGAGGGAGAAACAAAGAAAGGGATTATATCAAAACTGTATAAGGTACAATTGGAATCTAACAATAACAATTTGGATGTCAAGGAAAAATGGGAATTGGAAGCAAATATTATAATAACAGATGAACAATGGGAAGAAACATTCAAAGCAGAACATAAGGTAACTAGCAGCCCGACGTGGAGGGAGTTTGATTGGAAGATCAAAATGAGGTATTTTCACACTCCATCTATTACATCAAAGTATAGTAATACTTTGGAGAGATGTTGGAGGGGTTGCGGATTGGTAGGGGACTTTAAACATATATTTTGGGATTGCCCTAAGATTTTAGACTATTGGAAGAATATTCAAAAGGAAATAGAACATGTTTTGGGTATTGACTTTAATTTAGATCCAGCATTGTACATATTGGGTATAGTCCCAGATAATGCTATAGATAGGAACTTGACTTCCTTACTGAGAATTCTGCTTTTAATAGCAAAGAAAACAATCACAGCCTCTTGGTTGAAGCCACAGCCTCCCAGTATAACTGAATGGAGAGAAAGGGTAAAAAGTGTGTTCATCATGGAGAAAATCACAGCGAGGTTGCAGCTCAAGTCAGACAGGTTTGATCAAAGATGGTTACCAGTAATAGAGACAATGTCAGAACTCTAGTTACCTCTTTTATTGGTTATTAGGGCCCGAGCACGACCATGCGAGGTCCCTATTGAATTTGCTAAGATTATTTTATTAGGGCCCGAGCACGACTGTGAGGTCCCTATTGAATTTGCTAAGATTATATATATATATTAGGGCCCGAGCACGACCATGCGAGGTCCCTATTGAATTTGCTAAGATTATTTTATTAGGGCCCGAGCACGACCGTGTGAGGTCCCTATTGAATTTGCTAAGATTATATATATATTTAGGGCCCGAGCACGACCGTGTGAGGTCCCTATCTAATTTGCTAAGATTATATATATATTTAGGGCCCGAGCACGACCGTGTGAGGTCCCTATCTAATTTGCTAAGATTATATATATATTTAGGGCCCGAGCACGACCGTGCGAGGTCCCTATGTAATTTGCTAAGATTATATATATATATTTGTTTTTAGGGCCCGAGCACGACCGTGTGAGGTCCCTATTGAATTTGCTAAGATTATATATTTAGAGCCCGAACACGACCGTGCGAGGTCCCTATGTAATTTGCTAAGATTATATATATATTTGTTTTTAGGGCCCGAGCACGACCGTGTGAGGTCCCCATCTAATTTGCTAAGATTATATATATATTTAGGGCCCGAGCACAACCGTGTGAGGTCCCTATCTAATTTGCTAAGATTATATATATATTTAGGGCCCGAGCACGACCGTGCGAGGTCCCTATGTAATTTGCTAAGATTATATATATATATTTTTTTTAGGGCCCGAGCACGACCGTGTGAGGTCCCTATTGAATTTGCTAAGATTATATATTTAGAGCCCGAGCACGACCGTGTGTTGGCCGTTGCAAAATGACTTGCTAGCGCCACCTAGAAAATTGGAAAAAATTAGCCCCTCGTTCACCTACATGCCCGAAATTTGCTGGAGACATGTATCATGATTTTTTCTAAGTTTCTACAACTAAGACATTACCTTAAGACACATAAGGAGTGGGAGAAGATCTCTAACACCCCGTCGAAACTAGAAGAATTGTTAATGGCGTATACAGAGGGAGAAACAAAGAAAGGGATTATATCAAAACTGTATAAGGTACAATTGGAATCTAACAATAACAATTTGGATGTCAAGGAAAAATGGGAATTGGAAGCAAATATTATAATAACAGATGAACAATGGGAAGAAACATTCAAAGCAGAACATAAGGTAACTAGCAGCCCGACGTGGAGGGAGTTTGATTGGAAGATCAAAATGAGGTATTTTCACACTCCATCTATTACATCAAAGTATAGTAATACTTTGGAGAGATGTTGGAGGGGTTGCGGATTGGTAGGGGACTTTACACATATATTTTGGGATTGCCCTAAGATTTTAGACTATTGGAAGGATATTCAAAAGGAAATAGAACATGTTTTGGGTATTGACTTTAATTTAGATCCAGCATTGTACATATTGGGTATAGTCCCAGATAATGCTATAGATAGGAACTTGACTTCCTTACTGAGAATTCTGCTTTTAATAGCAAAGAAAACAATCACAGCCTCTTGGTTGAAGCCACAGCCTCCCAGTATAACTGAATGGAGAGAAAGGGTAAAAAGTGTGTTCATCATGGAGAAAATCACAGCGAGGTTGCAGCTCAAGTCAGACAGGTTTGATCAAAGATGGTTACCAGTAATAGAGACAATGTCAGAACTCTAGTTACCTCTTTTATTGGTTATTAGGGCCCGAGCACGACCATGCGAGGTCCCTATTGAATTTGCTAAGATTATTTTATTAGGGCCCGAGCACGACCGTGTGAGGTCCCTATTGAATTTGCTAAGATTATATATATATATTTAGGGCCTGAGCACGACCGTGTGAGGTCCCTATCTAATTTGCTAAGATTATATATATATTTAGGGCCCGAGCACGACCGTGTGAGGTCCCTATCTAATTTGCTAAGATTATATATATATTTAGGGCCCGAGCACGACCGTGCGAGGTCCCTATGTAATTTGCTAAGATTATATATATATTTGTTTTTTAGGGCCCGAGCACGACCGTGTGAGGTCCCTATTGAATTTGCTAAGATTATATATTTAGAGCCCGAGCACGACCGTGCGAGGTCCCTATGTAATTTGCTAAGATTATATATATATATTTGTTTTTTAGGGCCCGAGCACGACCGTGTGAGGTCCCCATCTAATTTGCTAAGATTATATATATATTTTAGGGCCCGAGCACAACCGTGTGAGGTCCCTATCTAATTTGCTAAGATTATATATATATTTAGGGCCCGAGCACGACCGTGTGAGGTCCCTATTGAATTTGCTAAGATTATATATTTAGAGCCCGAGCACGACCGTGCGAGGTCCCTATGTAATTTGCTAAGATTATATATATATTTGTTTTTAGGGCCCGAGCACGACCGTGTGAGGTCCCCATCTAATTTGCTAAGATTATATATATATTTAGGGCCCGAGCACAACCGTGTGAGGTCCCTATCTAATTTGCTAAGATTATATATATATTTAGGGCCCGAGCACGACCGTGTGAGGTCCCTATCTAATTTGCTAAGATTATATATATATTTAGGGCCCGAGCACGACCGTGTGAGGTCCCTATCTAATTTGCTAAGATTATATATATATATTAGGGCCCGAGCACAACCGTGTGAGGTCCCTATCTAATTTGCTAAGATTATATATATATTTAGGGCCCGAGCACGACCGTGCGAGGTCCCTATGTAATTTGCTAAGATTATATATATATTTGTTTTTTAGGGCCCGAGCACGACCGTGTGAGGTCCCTATTGAATTTGCTAAGATTATATATTTAGAGCCCGAGCACGACCGTGTGTTGGGCGTTGCAAAATGACTTGCTAGCGCCACCTAGAAAATTGGAAAAAATTAGCCCCTCGTTCACCTACATGCCCGAAATTTGCTGGAGACATGTATCATATCAAGACGCACAAAAAAGCCTCAAGAACCCATAGCCTAAAGTCAATTTACGTCAATTTTACGGCCATTTTTGGATGATTTACACACTTTTTAGTCGGACGTCAAATTTCTGCTGTGCCTTCTAAAGGCATTGAAGATGAAAAGTTGTGCTATTTGCAAGTTTTCGTCATGGGTGTGTCCGTGGCGTGGCGTCAAAGATCAAGTCTTCGACATGACACAGGAAGTTGTTGTAACTTCAGTGTACATGCTCACATCTGCACCAAACTGTACATGTAGGATGAGAGTCCCGCCCTGAACACATGTACATGTCGACATTCACCCACAGTCATAGCGCCACCTGCTGGCAACAGAAAGTGACCTTTAACGAAGCAGCCCCCACCGCACGTTTCACCTACGTGCACGAATTTTCTGTGGTACGTGTATCTTGTCCAGACGCACAAAAAAGCCTCTTGGAGCGATGCCCTAAAACCAACAGGAAGTCGGCCATTTTGAATTTTACGTGTCTCTTACTTGTCTCTTTTCACGTAGACGCTCCGACAGACAGTGCTTTCAGTTTGCTGCATGCATGGACACAGAACTGCGGTATAGGGAGAAGCACACGGTCAGCTGGCTGCAGCTAAATCTGGAGTGCACTCGTATTCAATTCTGTATGGAAAATTCAGTTTTAACGGAGCAGAGCGAGCTGACAGGCAGAGTTAGAGACTTTTTCTGTCCGTTTCTCTCTTTACAAAGACGCATGTTGCAGTCAGAGTCTTCTCTGAGATGCGAGCACCACATACAACACAATTTATCAAATTACACATCGGATATACAGTATGAAAATAAGATTGATTGGATTATACTCACAGGAAGTATAAAACCTCTTACATAGGTCTATTAAAAGTAAAGTAACACAAAAATGTCCGGGAAATTACTGAGATTTAAGTACTGCAGTTGTACATTTGAAATACCTTCCTACCTTTCTGATAGGAAGCCTTCTTGAGGTGGTATAAAACATTTCTTCTTATATTCTGATTTGAGTTGTGGACAACTATGACCACATGAATTAAAAAAATTAAACATTTCACTGCCCAAGTCAGCTATAACACAAGTCTTGTTCATTAGACTACATGCTGTACAGTATTTGTGGACAGATTTTGTCCCAGGATTTATTATGCATTTTTTCTTCTTCGTTGCATGATTTAGAATAATAAGGTGAGAAATGGGTCTGTTCTGAGTTCATCCTGCACTGCAGCAGCTAATAAAGTCCATTTAATCCCAAAAACGCTTTTCTTTTAGGCAGGCTGGAGCAGAAAACAACTCACCTTTCTCAAGTTGTCACATGTGTATGAAGGTGGATCAAACCAGCTAATCTTAAATGTCAAAGTAGAGAGGAGCCTAGTAGGCCTATTTATTTTCATTCATTACACAATATGAATAAGCTATGCAGACAGTTGTAAAGAAAGAACATCTTTTTCTTCTGTTCTCTACTTGTTATAGTTACACAGTATTAGGGGTGTGGGCTGTATTAAAAGTATCCACTGTTCTCCCATGCTCTAACACACAGTAACGATGAAATGTGTGCTGTTCTCACATTCTTCCTCTGTATGTACACATAAACAACAAGGCAGGGAAATATAAAAGGAATTTATTTTATTGTTTGGGTTCATTATTGCTTACAAGTGCGAGGGCCCGCCCAACGCTGCTTGCAGCTTTAATTGTTTATACGTACTGCAGTACACTTGACCGTAAAGGTATTTACTTATTGCTACAGGTTACTCAGGTTCTCTCCTTTTAAGACGGAGGAAGGAATGTTTGGGGATAGAAGGCGAGGGCATGATCATAGGTTAGAAGTGAAACTGTCAGCGCATCTCCTAATGTGCATGTTGTATATACGCTGTAAAAACTGTTAACTTAAAAAAAACAAGGCAACATTTTCCAACCACTTTTTGTTAGTTTAGCGAACTTCTTCATTTTTTAAGTTGGGAAAACTCAGCAATAAACATTTTAGTGTATGCTAAAATATTAAGAAGAGTCTACAAAAAAACTGGCAAAAAATTAAGTTCAGCCATTGTTGTAGGTATTATTATATCTAGCCTTTTGGAAACAAGCTTAATAAAACTGCTTAAGATTTTTCCTCCAATAAAATGGTTTTGGAATAGTCATTTCTCATAATGATAGTTTGACACAAAAACATGTTTCCCGCCTGAAAACTTTATTCTTTAAAAATCTTTTTAAACTGGCATATAAATGATCATGATCACTGTTTATCAGTGGCCTGTACTACCAAGCAGGGTAACTGGCTTATCCGTAACTTCAGGAGTAACTTCATGACGTCGGGTGTAACCTCCTGGTTTACCCGTACCACAAAAGGTGGATAGGTGTTACCCGAGGTCTGTTGCCATGGCAATTTACGCTGGATCTCTAAACTGCTCCGAGCAGGTTTTGTTCGTGGTTAAATCGAGGTTACCCTGCACGTGGACTACACACCACATCTGTACTCAGTGTTAATGATGAGAAGTAGGATATTAATACACACCACTTAAATATGTTTAGATTTCAGCCTGATTTGTTCCACTGCGGCTGCGGTGAAGTTCTGAACACAACAGCATTACATTCAGACAGCGAGCCCTGCAGCCGAGCTGGGATTTTAGAGAGGAAATCAGACAGGAAACAGAAAACAAATCCAAGATCAAAGTGTGAAATTTACAAGAAGAAAACTCGGAAATTCCCCTGAAATTAATGTCACAAAAAATCGAAATCTGGTGTTTCTTCTGAATACGCCCGATCCAAGGCAAAGTCTCTGAGGTGCATGATAGTGATTGTGGGCTAAACTCAGGAGTTTTTCCTCTCTGCTAAATCTGATTGCAAAGTTTAATATAACTTTCCAATGCATGTATAATACACTGCAGACATGTGTGTGTGATGTTGCAGCCTTGCAAAGGCTTTTTTGCGAAAAAACTGCCTGCACGGCCAAACACGCCCCTTTTATGCGAACATGCACCAACTCCAATTAAGTTAACACGGGGTTAACACCAACGCAACTAACCATCCTAACATCTTATCCACCTTCGTTTTTGCTGTTAGTTTTATAAATGTATTTCTAGACTGTTTGAAGATGTTTTGTGAGGTGACCTTGAGTGTTCTGAAAGGTGCCTGTAAATAAAATGTATTATTATTATTATTTGGGCAGAGCAAGATGACAGATTTGGGAGGAGGTGGACTTCACAACATGTTTCCAACTGCTTGTTGACTTTTACCAATGTTTTCCTGCAGGTGAGAAGTGATCATGTTGCTCCCATCTACGTCATCAACCTCCTCATTACCGACCTGATTCAGTTCTGCTGCATGATCGTTGAGGTGGCAAAACCTGAGGATTGGAGGATACGTTACATCTTCATGTCTATTTACATCTCTGCTCTGTTTGCCAGTGTTGGCTTCATGGTCTGCATCTCCCTGGAAAGGTATCTGTCTGTCTATCCAGTATGTGTGGAGCTCCTTCTGTGTCTGAACATTATATTAGTTTATAACTCTGAAGCTCCTCAAAGACTTTGTGTCCATCTTGTATTACAGGTATTTGGTCATCGCCCACCCACTGTGGTACCGCTGCAGACGAACCATCAAGACCTCTGTGGTGCTCTGTGTCCTGGTCTGGGTCCTTTCTCCTGTCTGTGCCATCGTATTAGATTTCGGTAATTATCTGGCCACATACATGATCCTCACCGTCTTCCTCCTCCTTCCCTTCCCACTGTTAATCTTCTTCCTGGTTGGGACCCTCAAAGCCCTGTCTGCTTCCATCTCGGTCCCCTCTGATGAAAATCGACGAATTGTGGGAATTTTGGTTCTGGTGCTGCTTATTTACACTCTGCTGTTCCTGCCCACCATCATTTGGTTCTTGAAAGTATACACTGACAATAACCGATTGGTAGACTCCAGACTCAACCTTCTGTATCTTACAATTGTTAGGTTCAGTCCTCTTGCAGACTCAGTCCTGTATGTCTTCATGAGGAAAGGGTTCATAGACAAGCTTTTGGCCTCTGTGTGTTGCTGCAGAATGGACAGCAATGATATCAGCAGGTCATCAGTATGAATGATGACAACATTTCCACAGTCAGCTTCATGTAGGCAGAGAAAGAGGGAGAGAGAGAAAGGGGAGGAAACAGGAGGAGAAATGGAGGCCAATAGAAAGGATAGAGACGAGACAGATCCTGTCATCTACTGAGACCATTTCCAATAAGACACCTAACTGTAGAGAACAGGAAGCACTGTTTGGACTCTGCTGTGGGAGAAGTGGCTGCTGGGAAATGTTTTGGTCAACTTGCTCTGGTTCACTGTGATGGCTTCAACACATGGAAATAAAATGTGTTTTATTAGTTTGGAGCTGGAAGTTGATGTCTGTCATTATTCTCCTTTCATCCCAGAAGCAAAGCAGATATTATTTTAGATGAACTGAGCTCATTCTAGCCGCCTCGCTGTCTTCTTCCTAAATCTTTATTTGGACTGTTGTTTGGATGTTTAACACAGGGAGAGCATCTCAACACGTCTTTAGCACTTTGTACTTTTTAAGTGTAATTTCTGCTGTTTTAGTGGTAGGCATGCTGCTGTTTAGGATGGGATTCAGAGCAGCTGTTTTGCAGCAGCTGTGGTGTTTTTGGCAATATGGATAAAATCTTAAACCACAGTTTATGTCAGTTTATTTGAAATTGTACATTTTCTGGAAAAATCAGTTTGTAGACCAAACTGTGAATGTTTGTCTTTGACCAACTCAGTGAATTAAAAGCTGACAAATGAAGATTCAACAAAATCTCTGTTGTCTATATGAACATAAAGCCCAACCTGCTGTTAGCAGGGAGGCATCCTGCACTTTCTGACCAAATGAGGTTTCCTCACAACTCTTAAAGACTTTTTTAGATAATAATTTGGGGCAGAAATGATAAAGTGTGACAGGGACAGTCACTGTATGTTTCTCCTTTTTAAACTTTAGCTCATTATTAGCTGAGATCCAACAAGAAAAATTTCCTTAACTGTCAGGCTGTTTCTTTAAATACCTTGGCAATTATTGACTTCATAAGCTGCACACAAAATATGCAGAAGGAAGGCAAGTTTGTGTTTCAAGGAGATAAACCGGTAGGCTAGGCCTATGTCTTTTGTGTTTTGAGCAGTGCTTGAAGTGGGCCGGTACACCCCGGTACGCAGACCGTTTATGCGTACCGGGACTTCTCCCAAGCTGCCGGTCCTCTCCTCTGCCCTCTCCATATCCGGTTCTCTGCTAAACTCTGTCGGCGCAGAGAGAGGAGGGAGAAGAGAAGCTCGGGCGCCTTTCAAGCAGCCTTGTGCAGAATGTAGCTCTTCAATGTCACTTGTCGTGAACCGACCAATCACAGCCTGGATGGGGCGGGACATTTAAAAATATTGACAGATAGGTGTCATTTACACTGGGGACTCTGGGGACAGGTCAGGATCAGAATGTCTCCATCACTTTACTCTGGCACCTCATTTTGTCCACTTCAAGCACTGGTTTTGAGCCAGTGTCTGTGATGAAGGAGTCGGCTACAATATACGTCGGCATTTTTCCAGGTAATAAAACTATCTGTCATTAGTTGGATGTATGGCCTCTGCAAGGCTGTGTGCAGCCGTTTGTTTTTATCAAATGCCAAATCTGTCACACATGTTATTAGCAGCTCACAATTATTTGTTTTACAATGGTTCTGCCCCATGTAATAGTTTTTTGTTGATGAAGTATTATCTTTTTCTAAACCTGATAAATTAATTAATGTATGTTATAATAACACAGATACAGTAAATGTGCTTGCTTATGTTTTTGCATCTGATGGGTTAAATGTCCTTAACTCGAATAGGCTAAATAATCAAAGAAAGAGTTATTTTACAATATGTTAAGGAGTAGTTTATGCAGTAAAGTATGTTTATACAGTCTTACAGTTCCAAGTGGCCCTTTGAGGGTAACCAAAATGCTTACGTTGCCCGTGTGAAAATGAGTTTGACATTTTCCTTACAGAATGTTTGTTATATGTCCATCCATCAGTGGTCCAAGGGGCTCTGATTGATCCATTTTAAGATATATTGTAGTCTATTGGACAGGAAGCAATGAAGAAAATGTGGGAGTTTTGCTTTTCTTTTGCTTTGAAAATTTACAGATCTTTGAGTCCAGTGACTTAAACCAGACAGCAGAGGGTTGGCTGGGTATCATTGAAAACAGGTAAGTGATATTGGGCAGCAACCCAAAAATTTTGGACAGTGGCAACAAAAGAAAAAGAAATAGTTGTGAAATGCTCAAATAAAGCACCCGCAGGATCATCTCACAATTAATTAGGTGAACTGGCAACAGGTTAGCAACATGATTGGGTTTAAAAAGAGCATGGCAGAGTCTTTCTAAGGCAAAGATGGGGAGGGGTTCACCACTCTGGGAAAGACTGTGCTGGGAAATAGTGAACCCATAACGCCAGGGACCACGCCCCCCTCTTCCTCTTAGACAAGAACTTGATGGGGCACAGGCAGCCCGCCATTATTAATTATGGACAGGGGGACAACATTGTGCAAACTGGGCCCCTTATCGACACCCACCCTTAGTTCCAATACAAACACAGGTAATTTCAGAGAAGCTCTTGGCCATTAGCCTTATAGTATCACAGATGGAGTTCCTAACAACCATTTCCAAATACAGTGTTATAGACTCATCCAGGCCACGCTCGCATCTACTGTATACTCAATTACTCAGTATGATAATAAAGCACAAAAGCAAAATCTTTCACATTAGACTGTGACAGTTTTGTTCCTCCTTTTAACTTAAAACAAGACAAGGAGAGAAAAAATGCCCTTGAATGATTAGCTCATTAGAGAAAAGAAAAAACAAACATTGAAGAAATGACTGCAAAGCATTAAATCATAATATCCATATATAGTATCATATCATAAGTAGTGAACAAATAAACATACTTCATCTATCATATTCAATCTTAAGGACTACATTAATCAAAGTATTGGTCAAATTATGTGAAGAATTTTCAGCGGTGTCAGCTGAAATGATGATAGTAATAATATAAACAAGGCTTTGTTGTGTATAGCTTATTGTATTGTAACCATATTTGCAGCTGTATCCTATGACTTGTGATGCGCTGTTGACGAGTGTTTAATTTTCTTGAGATTGCCACAGGGGAACTTGTGGGTATTAGTGATCTTTATTAATAAAAGAGGGGGAAAACTAAATTCAGATGGCAGGTGATGATGCAAAACATAATAGATAATGCACCTTGCATTGACTTGCACCTCCTCAAAAATGTAACTACACGTCGAGGCGAAATGGACCATAAGCACTGTGACTGGTCGGCTGGGTAGCCTCGCAATGCCTCCGAGCCGACAGGAAGTTCCCCGTGCTTTGAAGTAAATTTTACTAGCGGCCACATCGGCAGCTGTAACGCGGTGGATTAATATATTTGAGCGTCACAACCTGAGCAAAGTTATTCGTTTCACTATCAGCATGTGATCGATTCGGGCAATAACTTTTAAAAAGTCTATAAAAGCCGTAGGTATACAATTTCACCCCCAGTCACGTTAGCGGAGGGCTAAGCCGGAAGTTAGCTTGCTCGGCCGGGAAAAGCGGTGTAATTGCAGAACGACGGAGACACCGACGCACAAGTATAAATGCCTTTATAGTATAAATGCTTTTATACATCAGGGCATGTAGCCCTGACGCAGGAGTATAAATCAAGTTTAAAAAGACTGTGGCACCTTTTCTTACCTCAATGAAAAATGTATTAATTTTAATTCAGTGATAAACTCCTGGACTTTAATAGCTCCTGTGTTTCAGCAGATGTTCTGCTCATGTTTAAAACTTTCTGCACAATCACTCCAACCTATCTGTGTTCTCTGACATGTCCAGAGAAGAGTCAGAATATTTCAAGAATAACATCATAATTTAATGAGAACAGTCTACCTTCCCTACTTCCCTGCTGTGCATTAGCCAGCGTTGTTGCTCTGCTGATTTAGCCTGTTGAGGCCGTCTGCAGACACAGAACCGTTTGGGACTGTACTACTGGATGAGAGGAGGAGGCGGATAAATGAAACTTACTGAAAACACTTCTGATCAGGCAGAAATCTCACCACAAATCCATACAAATGTTCACTTCAGCACCTCTGATGAAGTGCAGCTCGCAGTCACAAACAGAACAAGGCTGCGCCTCAGATTTTAGATGCTTAACTCACAGCGGTGAGTGCCGGTGTCGTAACAGCTGGGCGGAGTTACTCACCCCGAGTTGATATTATCAGTTATACATTTGTTTATCACTGCGTCAGAAAGTGATCAGTTGCATGAGTCTCACGCTTGATGCCTGAGTTGGCAGCTCTGGTGTTATATTATTGAAAGGTTTTAGCAAGCTAAAGCTTTGCTAGTCTGCCTAACTGTTAGCTCCTCACCTTCACCGGTTAGACATACATCGTGCTTCTTCACAGTTTTTTGGGCCAGAAATTTGGCCATTGCCTCTATGATTTTATTTTTCTCTGTGTGTTTTGGCTTCTCTTTTGTGCCCCTGACAGGCTGCAGTGTTCGCTTAAAGCGTCTCGCAGTCCTGCTTATCTGAATGGCCAAATGTTTCGACCTCACCGTTGTCACAATAACTGTGGGGGGCAGAAGTATGAAATATGTTTTAATGATAATAATACATTTGTTGAGCTGGAGTTTTTTAGGAACTTGGTGGCTTTATCCAGTTTGTTATTAAATTTGTGATCAACCTGAATCGTGTGTCTCTTCATTTCACTCCCATAAAAAAAAAGCTATTTTTAGTGGTCAAGCATCTTCTTTTTCGTTATAATCCAATCCAATCTTGTTAGGGTTTTGGTTTTATGTTTAGTCTTGTTCTTGCCAGTTATGATTTGTGTTCTGTATTTTCCTGTTCATCCTCATTTATGCCATTTCCCATGTGTGTAGTGTATACAATCACGAGTGACATACAGGAGACATACATACAAAAAGAAAGAGAGGTTCTTGCCAACCATCCCAAACAACATTCCTGTAAACCTGAATCAACCACACAAAGTACATAAAAACACACACAGAGGAATATAAAAAAGAAGTAACTACTAGACAGAAACCTGATTTTGATACAGTGTTGAGGGGATGTGAAAGGACAGGAAGGAACTACCTTTAAAAGCAGCAGTATGGTGTTTTGGTCTTCTACTCTATACAACATTTACTTTTCAAGACTGATCTCGTTTTCACAAATTAAACTATAGAACCATTTTCAGAGAAAGTAAGTACATCTGGTTTGTATTGAGCAACCCAAACTCTAACAAGATCAGTTTTAGGCCTTATACTGTATCAGTTGTCAATCAAAATAATAGTGATGACAGGGTAAAGTGGGGCAGTGGAAGTAATAATACTTCTCCAGTAGCATCACCATTAGGGAGAACTAAAGGCTGCAGGGTGCATCTATGCATCCGGTATCTAAAACTTTCCAGAAAAAACTCCTAATAGTAGATAAATGGATACAAAAAATAATTAATTCATCAATTCAATTTTACCTGACGGGCCCTCACTGTCGCTCTCTACTCTTGGATGGAACTGTAACTTAGATCATTTGTGGTCCTTTCATTGTAAATGCTTTTCTTTTCAATGAGACATGGATTCCAGGAAAGTTCAAAGCTAGATTTGATTGATAGATGTTGTACTTAGATAGGCTGATTTGGAACATGAACCAGAGCAGAAGGGGGAGGATTCTCACTAAGTTCTGGCAGTGACGCGTGAGGGACAATCATGTTTTTTTGTCCCTGAGGGGACTTTAACATGAATGTACACTGACTAATGGGGACTGCCCACGGGTACAGATGCCTTTTAAGGTTTAAGACTTGGGTTCAGGTTACAATTAGGTTAAGATTAGGGGTAATGTAAGGGTTAATGTTAGTCATGTAGCTGTGATGAGAAAAGGGGGAAACTGAGTGAGGAGGTCCAGAGCAGGATCTGGGAATAGTTTTAGACAGGCTTCCAGGGCTGAGAAGACCAGGGGCTAAAGACAGGGGCCAAAGTTACTTCTAATAGCGTGAGTAAAACAACATGTTATTTTTTGAAAATTTTTTAACTTGATACTTAATGTTGTTCTTCTACAGTCGGCCTTATTCAGTTATTTAAATGTGTTCACATGTTGTTTGTTTTTTGAAGCCTACAGTTTAATGATTCCTTTAAAAATGTAGGTTTGACTTTTTCAATCTGTGATGAAATAAAGTGTAAAATCCATAAACCCCATGAATGGCATATTCAATAGTTACTTTGTCAATTTTATTTATTTTGATAAAGAAACAGGTTTTATATGTAACAAATGTTTATTCCAAATGTCAGAATAAACACCAACAAGGAAGATAAAATCTGCAGATGGTTCATCAAGTGGATTAATAGTCATGTAAACCTCCTCATCAACCACAGAGGACAGAGGGGCGTTCAACAAGTTGTGGGGCATCGAGTACAGGAGGCAACTATGCGATTCCTACTCTGGTGAAGGCGTGACGTCTCCTACCCGGCCTCTGACTAGCTAAGCCAGACAATAATGTTTCTCACATAGCCATCGAAGTCTGGCTGCTCCAAATTGTTAAGCTGTAACAATTTCTTCTAAATGCAGTCCATTTGTTTGCATTGTAGTAACCTAGCTGTGCAGAGTGAGAAGAAACATCAACAAGTAAAAATATTTTTTGTAATAGAACTTGTTCTTCTTTTCTTCTTTGATTAAATAAATGTTAAATGTAACAAATGTTGAGGAATGATGATAGAAAGTGAAAGACAGCAGTTTGTGATTTGATATGATTGTGGGTAAACTATAGGTACACTGTGTTTGTGTGAACTTCACCTCACAGCTTTAGTGATGTCACTGAACAATGTTAGGTAGATATTAAAAACCTGCTCCCTTTAATAACCTGATCTCTCAAACAGGTTTCACTCTGAAGAATGGAAGGTCTCACATGGACAACACCTCACAGAACCAAAGCTACGATCACAGCGACATCACCTCCAACAGCAGGATTACAGGAACTGGTATTCATCCTGTATGTGGTGACATACACAATCATCGCTATCGGCCTCCTGTTGACCCTCGTGGCCATCTATGCTCTGTATTCTATGGTATGTACATTCTGACCAGAGCTGGAAAGAGTCAAAATATTCTACTTAAACAAAACAACAATTACTTTGATGAGCATTTACTTAAGGACAAGTAAAGTTACTGATATAAAAATCTACTCAAGTAAAAGTAAAAAGTAGCCATGCTGCTCAGCTTAGATGCACAAAAAGCATTTGACAGAGTAAAGTGGAGCTTCCTTTACCAAACATTGCAAATTTCGGGTTTCACACAACCTTCATAGACTGGGTGAAAATGATATACAAAAACCCCAAATCACGGATTAGAGTCAATGGGTGTTGCTCAGACTTTTTCCTACTCAAAAGAGGAGTCAGACAGGGAGACTGTCTGAGCCCTTTACTGTTTGCTGCAAGTATAGAACCACTGGCTGAGTCAATAAGACAGAATAAAGATAAAGGGAATAGGGATGAGGGGGGACAGAACACAAAATATCACTATTCGAAGACGATATATTAACATATATAAATGCACCTTCCACCTCATTAATAGCCCTGGTGAATAACCTGAACAAGTATGGGGAGATCTCAGGATATCTGAGGCTAAATCAGTAGCTATGATGCTCTCAGGTCAATGTCCAGCTGATTTAAAGGGGAAATTCAAGTTCAAATGGACTAATATAGGGTTCAGATATCTGGGTATTATTATTACCTCTGCTACGTCACAGCTATTTGAAGCGAACAATGGGAAATTGATAACTGAAATTAAAAAAGAGGTGGGAGATTTTGCCTTTGACTCTGATGGGGAGGATAGAAACTGTGAGAATGAATGTACAACCAAGACTGTTGTTTTTGTTCCAGTCATTGCCTATTATGGTCTCTAACTCTACCTTTAAGATGTTAGACAAGATTATATCCCAATTTATTTGGAAAAATAATTAAATATAAGACACTTCTTTGTCCAAAAGAGAAGGGAGGGTTAAATTTACCCAATTTAAACAATTACTATTGGGCTGCTCAACTCAGGGCTTTTATTATGTGGATTACTAATGATGCAGATACATTGTGGGTGGGAATGGAACAAAACTCTATAAATGTACCTATAGAGTCGCTTCCATTTTTGAGTGAGGTAACACTAAAGAGGCTGAAGGTGGGCAAGTCTGGATCAGGGGGACAATGAGAATATGCTCAATGGTACGTAAGAAATTGAAACTGTCAAACACCATTTGTAGAGCCGCTCGAATCTCGACAAACCCAGATTTTTTGCCATCTATGATGGATGCAGGATATAATAGATGGACACAACAGGGGTTAAAATATATTGCACAAATGTTTAGGGGACAAACCCTGAAGTCATTTCAACAGTTAACACAAGAATTTAATTTACCAGCCCATGATTTTTTCTAAGTTTCTACAACTAAGACATTACCTTAAGACACATAAGGAGTGGGAGAAGATCTCTAACACCCCGTCGAAACTAGAAGAATTGTTAATGGCGTATACAGAGGGAGAAACAAAGAAAGGGATTATATCAAAACTGTATCAGGTACTACAACTGGAATCTAACAATAACAATTTGGATGTCAAGGAAAAATGGGAATTGGAAGCAAATATTATAATAACAGATGAACAATGGGAAGAAACATTCAAAGTAACTAGCAGCCCGACGTGGAGGGAGTTTGATTGGAAGATCAAAATGAGGTATTTTCACAAAACATGTTTCCCGCCTGAAAACACATCTTTTTAAACTGGCATATAAATGATCATGATCACTGTTCATCAGTGGCCTGTACTACCAAGCAGGGTAACTGGCTTATCCGTAACTTCAGGAGTAACTTCATGACGTCGGGTGTAACCTCCTGGTTTACCCGTACCACAAAAGGTGGATAGGTGTTACCCGAGGTCTGTTGCCATGGCAATTTACGCTGGATCTCTAAACTGCTCCGAGCAGGTTTTGTTCGTGGTTAACTCGAGGTTACCTGCACGTGGACTACACACCACATCTGTACTCAGTGTTAATGATGAGAAGTAGGATATTAATACACACCACTTAAATATGTTTAGATTTCAGCCTGATTTGTTCCACTGCGGCTGCGGTGAAGTTCTGAACACAACAACATTACATTCAGACAGCGTGCCCTGCAGCCGAGCTGGGATTTTAGAGAGGAAATCAGACAGGAAACAGAAAACAAATCCAAGATCAAAGTGTGAAATTTACAAGAAGAAAAATCGGAAATTCCCCTGAAATTAATGTCACAAAAAATCGAAATCTGGTTGTAGCGGCCCCTTGGATTTATTGATCAAGACGCAGAGAGTTTCAAACGGGTGTCGATTTATTATTCCTCTCAACGTGCACCATGCACCATGAACACCGTGAAAACTACAGAATAAAACAGAAGAAACACAAAAGGCTTCTATGTAGCTTCACAAATAGTTTGCACATAAATTGTGTTCACATATTTATCATGTTTACACACAATACAAATCATTTAACTAACAACCAATATGAAATGAAATGTTTTTAAGTCTTTATGACAAATAAATATCACATGCCTTTAAATGAAATACAATATATTATAATTGTTCACAGAAATAATATTGCTTTTATGTTAATGACATGTGCAATTAACCCATAAACAAATGAAGTAATGACATTCTCCTTTCCTTAAACAAAATCCCTTCTGATAATAATACACTAGACACATTTTCTTTCATACCTCATTCCGCTCTCCAAGGAAGCTAATCAAATGGTTTCGCCATCGGCTATCACGCTCTCTAGCTCGACACACGCTCACAGTTCGTAGGTCTTAGAAATAACATGTACAAACAACACAAAAATAATAAAATCACAATGTAAACTCCTTCTTTACAAGATTCAAATAGATGAACATGATAAATAACGTGTTTACCAGTTTTTTACCGTTCTTCCGACGACGCGTGAGCACCACATTGTGAAGAGAAAAGTAGCAGGAAGTTTAGCGTCACAAAACATAAGAAAACGGCGCCTTTCAAAATAAAAGCAGAACTACAATGTCTTATTAAATATATAAATATATACTATGTAGGAGAATATTAATGCGATTTATCAGACATTTACACTGGTGTTTTCTTCTGAATACGCCCGATCCAAGGCAAAGTCTCTGAGGTGCATGATAGTGATTGTGGGCTAAACTCAGGAGTTTTTCCTCTCTGCTAAATCTGATTGCAAAGTTTAATATAACTTTCCAATGCATGTATAATACACTGCAGACATGTGTGTGTGATGTTGCAGCCTTGCAAAGGCTTTTTTGCGAAAAAACTGCCTGCACGGCCAAACACGCCCCTTTTATGCGAACATGCACCAACTCCAATTAAGTTAACACGGGGTTAACACCAACGCAACTAACCATCCTAACATCTTATCCACCTTCGTTTTTGCTGTTAGTTTTATAAATGTATTTCTAGACTGTTTGAAGATGTTTTGTGAGGTGACCTTGAGTGTTCTGAAAGGTGCCTGTAAATAAAATGTATTATTATTATTATTTGGGCAGAGCAAGATGACAGATTTGGGAGGAGGTGGACTTCACAACATGTTTCCAACTGCTTGTTGACTTTTACCAATGTTTTCCTGCAGGTGAGAAGAGATCATGTTGCTCCCATCTACGTCATCAACCTTCTCATTACCGACCTGCTTCAGCTCTGCTGCATGATCGTTGAGGTGGTACGAACTGTGGATAGGACGATATCTCTCATCTTCATATATATTTACTTCTCTGCTCTGTTTGCCAGTATTGGCTTCATGGTCTGCATCTCCCTGGAAAGGTATCTGTCTGTCTATCCAGTATGTGTGGAGCTCCTTCTGTGTCTGAACATTATATTAGTTTATAACTCTGAAGCTCCTCAAAGACTTTGTGTCCATCTTGTGTTACAGGTATTTGGTCATCGCCCACCCGCTGTGGTACCGCTTCAGACGAACCATCAGGAGCTCTGTGGTGGTCTGTGTCCTGGTCTGGGTCCTTTTTCTTGTATATGGTGTCCTTTACTATTTTGTTGATTATCTGACCACATACATAATCCTCACCGTCCTCCTCCTCCTTCCCTTCCCACTGTTCATATTCTCCCTGGTTGGGACCCTCAAAGCCCTGTCTGCTTCCATCTCGGTCCCCTCTGATGAAAAACGACGAATTGTGGGAATTTTGGTTCTGGTGCTGCTTATTTACACGCTGCTGTTCCTGCCCAGCATCATTTGGTTCTTGAAAGAATACACTGACAATAACCAATTGGTAGACTTTAGACTCAACCTTCTGTCTCTCATCTTTGTTAAGTTGAGTCCTCTTGCAGACTTGTTCCTGTATGTCTTCATGAGGAAAGGGTTCATAGACAAGCTTTTGGCCTCTGTGTGTTGCTGCAGAATGGACAGCAATGATATCAGCAGTCCATCAGTATGAATGATGACAACATTTCCACAGTCAGCTTCATGTAGGCAGAGAAAGAGGGAGAGAGAGAAAGGGGAGGAAACAGGAGGAGAAATGGAGGCCAATAGAAAGGATAGAGACGAGACAGATCCTGTCATCTACTGAGACCATTTCCAATAAGACACCTAACTGTAGAGAACAGGAAGCACTGTTTGGACTCTGCTGTGGGAGAAGTGGCTGCTGGGAAATGTTTTGGTCAACTTGCTCTGGTTCACTGTGATGGCTTCAACACATGGAAATAAAATGTGTTTTATTAGTTTGGAGCTGGAAGTTGATGTCTGTCATTATTCTCCTTTAATCCCAGAAGCAAAGCAGATATTATTTTAGATGAACTGAGCTCATTCTAGCCGCCTCGCTGTCTTCTTCCTAAATCTTTATTTGGACTGTTGTTTGGATGTTTAATACAGGGAGAGCATCTCAACACGTCTTTAGCACTTTTTATATTTTAGTTTCTCATACATGTTTTAATTTAGTGTTTTTTTAATGTATGCTTTCCCAAAACTGTGTTCGCGAAGCGTTTTATTTTTTGGACAAATAAGGAAAAAAATCCATTCCATTGTTTGTTTCATTTTATTCGATCTAATCATGCTGCTGTTTAGGATGTGATTCAGAGCAGCTGTTTTGCAGCAGCTGTTGTGTTTTTGGCAATATGGATAAAATCTTAAACCACAGTTTATGTCAGTTTATATGAAATTGTACATTTTCTGGAAATCCAATAAAAATCAGTTTGTAGACCAAACTGTGAATGTTTGTCTTTGAGCAACTCAGTGAATTAAAAGCTGATAAATGAAGGTTCAACAAAATCTCTGCTGGTTGACAAATCTCCGTTGTCTATATGAACATAAAGCCCAACCTGCTGTTAGCAGGGAGGCATCCTGCACTTTCTGACCAAGTGAGGTTTCCTCACAACTCTTAAAGTTTTCAGACTTTTTTAGATAATAATTTGGGGCAGAAATGATAAAGTGTGACAGGGACAGTCACAACAGATCAGACCAACATGTTTCAGTAGAAGTTAGTAAAGTCCACAATGTAAAAAGAAAAAGTTGAACTTAAAATTTTAAGCCAATAAAATTTACCAAACTTCTAAGTTGGGCAATTAAACTGAATATTTTAAGTTTTGCTCTTGAGTCTGATCAATTTTCGGTTTGACGTTCTCTTAACTCAACCAAAGTTGCAACAACTTTTAATTATTACTTATGTTACGACCCCCTGTTGGTCTAGGGGTGTGGGGGCCATAAACATATAGGCACAACTGGTACAGATCTTAACAAGGTAACTTTCATTGGTAACAGAGATGTAGACAGGTAACAAAAAAACAAAAGGAGGGTGGACGCGGGTGCTGCAAAAATAACAAACCAAATTAAAATAAAAAGGTCCTCAAAAGGAGGCCTGTACCTATCTATCGATTTAAGCAGAGTTGTTTCTTGCTACAAAAGAACACAAAGAGCACAACACCCACTCCACCTGGTGAAAACACAATAGTAAACAAAACACTAAGTGAATTTCTCCACTGCACCCAATGTGGAGCTAACAAACAAAGGTATGCAAATGTTTCCCTAAACACAATGTACAGCTAATAAGCAAGGAAGGTGGATAATTCCACTAAACACAGAGTACAACTAACAGGCAGGGTATGCAGTCAATACCAGCAGCACACAAGTCAACAGGCGGTGACAAGCTGCCTGGAGCAACAGGTGGACTCTCCTTATGAGCCGGAGGTAATTAACGTGGTGACGGGCCATTGGTTGAGTGGAAACAGAGGGAACCAATGGGCGAGACAGATGTCAGCAACCCAGAAACCAGGAAGTAGGCGGGTCTTCATTCCCCAGGGACACAGCCTACTTGGTAGAGGTGAGACAGGAAAAAGGGGAAACACAAAGGTGACAGTGACAGCCGTGACACTTCTGTTTAAGTTGTAATAAATTATAATTTCACACTGTAACTTATGGTTCTTCATATTGATCAATTAGTATCAATAACTCCACATCTAAATTGTAAATAATTACAGATGCAATGTCTACATTAAAATTTTGATAAATTTTTCTGAAAACATGTAAAAAAACCAGACAATTTACAGGAAATTATAGTTTCTGGTACTATGTCGAAGTCCTCAGCAGCGTGGAACGGGCTCGATGCCACAGACGGATATGAGCCTGGACTGAGGGGACTGCAATGTCCTTCTCCTGGGAATGAAACAGAGGAGGCTGATATCCGTAAATACACTGGAAGGGCTCTACAGCGCTCTCCACCTGACGGGAAACAGACAGGGTGTGGCAGAAACAAACAGCTAGCATGACAGGTAGCGCTTCAGCTAATGATCCTTGAGGTGGCCCAGTCCATATTGGGGTAATGGCCAGAACTAGTGGCACAAAGGGGAAACTAATCAGCTCAGCTAAATGTAATGTAATAACAAAAGAATCTGTTGGATGTGGTTACCAGATAACTGTAGCTCGACTGGGCAGGTGCGAGCAACAACCAGGGCCAATAATTTACCATCTAGAGCATTAGTTTAGTGGCGTATCTAGCAGTTCAGTGGGGATTCTCAGCTGCTCTGCCACACTTCATCTAAGAAACTCTCTTCTGCTCCAGAGTCAATAAGAGCTAAAAGTCTGCTGGACTGATCGTGGTAAGTGAGTGTAGCGTGAGACTCGTGACGGTGATCAGTGCTGGTGGCTCCGGAAGGACTGACGGTCTGCCGGTGGGCAGGCAAGCAGCGTGAGACGACGAGGGTGTGATCCCCAAAGAAACAGGCAGGGTAACCTCTCGGGTTGGCGTCTTTCCAGGCTAGGAAAAACCAGAGAACAGAGAAGGTTAACCAGCGGCTAACAGGAAACACGAGATGAACGGTCAGAAAATACAAAGTTACCACGAGGCTGGATGCTGGCTCGAGACGCACTGAACTCAACATAACAATCCGGCAAAGACCGAGGAGAACTGCTGGGCTTATCAAGCAGCACATATAGGCATGATGAGAATCCGGTGTGCCAGACAGGCGTGTGAACCAGCCCCATGCGTCACCACATGTCACGCCTCCTGCCAAGGTAGAAAAGGTAGAGCAGCAAGGAAGAGAGAGAGAGAAAAAAACTAAAACACACCAGCCAGATCACACACTCAGAAAGAGAAAGTAACAGAACACACACACAGCCTAGTCAAAGCTGGGATGTTGTGACAACAGCAACGATAATACAGAACAATATTAGTAAAACAGGCATATAATAAACTGCAATTCTCTCACACCTTTTTATCTTGAATTTAAAGATACAGTAAAACTCAGATGCAGAGTTAGGACATACAACAGCTTTGGTTCTATCTTATAACAATTCACTCTTAGCACAACTAGCACTGTGGTTATTTAAAACTATAGGGAACAGTTGAAAACACAGTTACACTTGTTGAACTGGATGATATCCGTTAAGTAAAACATTATATCATGATAATTCCAACCTGTTTGATTTTGAGTTTGTGTTATTTTTTTGTTCTTTTTTGTCTAAACTGAGAACAAGTTGCGACTACAAAAATTTCTGTAAAACTTAAAATACTTTTTTATGACAAAATAATATAAGTTGGCGTTATTAGAGTGTGCTGTGTGTTTCCCCTTTATGAAGTGTAGCTCATTATTAGCTGAGATCCAACAATAACAAGCAGATTTCTTTAAATACCTCGGCTTTCACACTGGAAACTGCATAAAGATAAGATAAACTGATAAAAGTCAGTGCTGTTCTAACTTTGTTTTTTTTTTTAAGCAAAAAAACAAAGCACTGTGTAGTTTAGCAGCAAGATGGACATAATGGCTGCAGACAGGCTTTGTGCTCACATCCCACCCCACACTTTTAAAGTAGCTGCTCCAAATAGCTGCTTTGTGTGACCGCTTATCCTGATCCTGATTGTTAGAGTTAGTGAAGCCAGATAACGAAAAGATATCCTGGTTATGTTAAACATGCTTCATGGTACAGGCCCCAGGAAAGCCTCAAACTGAGCTAAAGTCAGCTGAAACATTTAGTCTAATAAATCAAAGGACACCGTTATCATATTCTGAGTTATTACATAATGAATACTTAATCAGAATATCAGTAAATACAGATGCAGCTATTGAATAAATAATAAAAACTCATTCTGCCAATCTGAGCAGGCCTACCTACGCTTTGAGAAAGCCTGGCAAAGCATCAGCAGCCTGTTTGACGCCCTGAGATGAGAACCAGCTCAGTATAAATACAGAATGCAGGTTGGTCTTCATGTGCAGGTGTTTGTTAAACAGCTACAGAGAGAAAACTTGCAGCTCTGCAGGGAGAACTGAGTCTTAGTATCAGCACAGATCACATGTGTGCAGATACAAACTCCATCAAGAGTCTCTCCAGCTGTTAGAGCTGAGATCAGCTGATCCAGCTTCTTCTTCTGATTTAATTGGCAACCAGGTGCATTACCTCCACCGATCAGATGATTGGCAGACTAAATACATTTCTTCAGATATTTAATGCTTAGATATTCCCCATGTCTTATTTCCAAGGAGGTTCTCTGCAGTGAACCTAAGGCCCGGGCTTTCTGCTACAGCATTCCCCTCCCATCCAAACCTCAATGACACTGTCATTGTGCAGCTCTCTTCTAAGATGGCTTGAGGGGGGTGAGAGCTACAGCACCCCTGAACATTAACCCAGTATGTTAACATTATTTTTGATCTTTTTCTCCTTAGTGCCTCCGTGGCAGCCACTGGAGAGCTCTTCAATCCTCCACTGTACGTCCTTACCCCGTCCAGACCTGTGGCGCCTCTACAAAAGCTTTCTGAAACCTGAGGGGTTTCTGGAAACCTTCCACCTTTATTTCTCAGCCTCCGTAGAAGATGAAACATGAAATAAAAACCATTGAAGAGCTTATACCTTTGGCTTTGAACAGTTTGCATTTGCCCCCAGTATTCAGTTACTTTTAAAAAAGAAAGTTGAAATAAATGAATACATTTGTACAAATTTTAGTTATTTCTTTACAAATGGCAACATATTCAGAATCAGAAACACAATGAGGTTTTATTGCCAGGT